CGTGACGCGGCGCACCGCGAGGGCAAGGCGCAGTACCTGCGACACAAGGACGCTGCCGACGGCGCGGAGCGGCGGCTGCTCGCGCTGAAGGAGGAGCGCCGTGGTCTCTTCATGGCGTGCTTCCGCCGCGTGCAGGAGCGGCTTCGCGAGGTCTACCAGCTGCTCACGCACGGCGGCGACGCCGACTTGGAGCTCGTCGATGCGCACGACCCCTTTGAGGGCATCCACTTTGTCGTACGCCCGCCGAAGAAGTCGTGGAAGCAGATATCAAACCTCTCCGGCGGCGAAAAGACGCTCTCGAGCCTTGCCCTCATCTTCGCCCTGCACGACATCAAGCCGACACCAATCTACGTCATGGATGAGATTGACGCTGCGCTCGACTTCTGCAATGTGTCTATTGTCGCCAACTACCTGCTGCGGCAGGCGAGTGGCGCGCAGTTCATTATCATCTCGCTCCGCAACAACATGTTCGAGATGGCCCACCAACTTGTGGGCGTATGCAAAGTGATGGACGTGACACGCACGCTTGTGTTGATGCCGAAGGGCTTCCAGCGTGTCGTGGAGGCCGCGCTGCTGCAACGCAAGCGGCAGCGGTCACCACAGCAGCGTCGGTCAGCAAGTGATGTTGCGCCGGACGGTGGCGGATGCATAAACGAGGAAAGGGACGAGGAAGAAGAGGAAATGGCCGATAGAGGATCTTGCCACTCTACGAGGGACAAGAACCAAAACAACAAAGATGGTGACACAAGAGCTGATGTAGCGGCAGCAGAGGCGACAACTACGGTAAGAGCACGAACACGTGTGAAGAGAGAACGCCGTGAGTGATGATGGCAGACTTTTGCTGCTTTTTACTGTTGTCATAGAGCGCAGTGGCGCACACTTCCTTCTTTGGTGTGTTTTCCCGTACTTTGTGTGCATGTCTTTCTCTCTCTGTGTGTGTGTGTGCTTGGAGGGGTGCAGTGTGCATGGCATATGTGTGGTACGCCCTTTGTTTTTGCGTCGTTTTAGAAGCACACACCCACACACACGCCGCACAAAGAGTCCACCCGGTACAGTTTTTTATTTTGCTCCCATTCTCTCTCGTTTTTTTTTTTTCTTGTGATACTCTCTCTGTGCGTGTGTGTGTGTGTGTG